AAAGAAAATCAATTAGCCCCTAGAACTTCCAGAGGGAACACAGTTCTGTTTAACATTGTGAATTCATCTTGGCAAGACCCATTTTAGAGTTCTGACCCTCCAGAACCATAAAATAATAAATGTGTTGCTTTGAGACACTATGTTTGTGGCAATTTGATACAGCAGCAATTGGAGACTAATACACTATGAAAAGATATTCAACATCCTTAGTCATTAGGAAAATGCAAATTAAAACAATGATGAGATACTACTATGTACCAATTAGAATGGTTAAAATAAAAAATACTGGCAATACCAAGTGATGGAAAGAATGTGGAGCAAGTGAAACTCTTACACATTGCTGGTAGAAATGCAAAATAAGTAAATTACTCTGGAAAAAAGTCTAGCAGTTTCTTAAAATGTCAAATATATACCTACCATATGATCTAGCCATTCAACTCCCAGGAATTTACCTAAGAGATATGAAAGCGTATGTCCATACAAAAATGTGTACATGAAGGTTCATAGCAGCTTTATTTATAAGACCTCCCAAGTGAAAACAACCCAAATGCCTGTCAACAGGTGAATGAATAAACAAACTGTGGTATGTCCATACACTGGAATTACTATACAGCAATAAAATAAACTAAACTGCTGATGCATGCTATATTAATGAATCTCAAAATAATTATGGTGAATGAAAGAAGCCATTTGGACAAGAGTATGTATTGTAGAATTCCATTTATATAAAATTCTAGAAAAAGTAATGAAATCTATAGTGACAAAAAGATCAGTGGTTGCCAGGGGACAGGGCCAGGAGAGCGCAAGGGAAGGATTCTAAGGGGCACAGAAAACTTTCGGGATGAGGGTTATGTTTGGTTTCACAGCTGTATGCATATGTAAAAATTCACAAAGTTGAACACTACGTCATTTATACAATACAGCTGTTTAAGAAAAAAGAGTCCAGTACCAATGGATTTTATTTCTTTTGTGAGTTCTTTTAAAAATGCTGTATTACAGGTACCCCCATGACATGTGGAAATTGAGTCTAAAATGATTAAAAAAAAATTGAAGTTTGGGGAAAAGTTTTATTTCAGTTTAATTTACCAATTTATTAATTTATTTCAGGTTTTTTGTATGTATGAGTAATACATGGCTTAAAAAAAATCCAAATCTAAAGTAGATCTCTTAAGAACTATCAAGTAAAAACTCTAAGTGGTCAGGAGGCATTGTGTCATAGTTTCTTAATCTCAGTGGCAGCTTTTCTTTCTTCCATAGTGGTGCATAAAATAATGGCCCATCTTTCAATCAGTGAGGTCTTACATTCACAGAAATGCACTATAGAATCACTCTTTATCACCTCCACCACTGCTGCCATGGTCCAGGCCATCATCATTCCAGGCTTACTGTAACGGGCTTACTGTAACAGCCTCCTGACTGCTTTTCTTACTTCCATAGTTGGACCAACTATAGTCTATTCTCAACACAGTAGATAGAGTAATCCTTTTCAAAATAAATCAAGTCATTCCTCTGCTCAAAATCCTCCTGTGACTTATTTCATTCTGACTAAAAGCCAAAATCCTTACAAAATCATTCTTCACCCCACCTCGCAACCCTCCTGCCTTCATCATTCCCAGTAGGCTTCTTTAAACTGACTTCAAGTCACATTAGCTTCTTTGCACTTCAAGAAATATGTCAAGATTGTGTTTACCTCAGGGCCTTTGCACTTGCCTTTCTCTATGACTGGAATTCTCTTTCCCTTGACTTTTGTAAGGTAACCTTGGATCCTAGTTCAGATGCCATCTTATCAGTGAGTCCTTTCCTTACCAATCTATTTAGTATTGCAAGTCCCTGTAACACCCTTGGCTGGCAGCCCAGCCCTTTCGCCTATTCTTCTTTCCTGCTTTACTTTTTCCCAAGACTCCTATCACCATATGGCAATACATTTTATTTAGTTTTTTGTTTTGTCTGTTTTTTTTGTCTGTCTGTCCTTCAGGAGTTTTGGGATATCCAGGTGATTTCAAAACACACAAATTCATATGAGAGGTTTGCAAAGCTGGAGACATTAAATTGATAGCAAATAGACTGGCTGTAGTTCTAAGTATATTGCATATACTTGGAAAATATGTAATAGAGTACAAGCCAATACAATTTGCAAGAAAGTGAGCATTTAATTTCAAGAATCAAAAGTTAATGTTAGTTAAATTTATTCTTTTGTTGTTGTTGTTGGGCTGGGGAAGTTGAAAAGAAGTGATCAGGAAAAATGGAAAGATTGAATGCTATCAGGGGACAGCCTTTTCCTTTAAAAAGGGGGAAAAGGTGCCTTGATCTAGCTCTCTTTCTTGTCTGTATTTGTATTAGGCAATTACACTGTCTTTTGATACAAAGATGGTTTCTTTTTTGTTTGCCAGCAAATGGCAGCCATTGGATGAATTCCTCCAACTTCTCTTTTTCCTTCTGGCACTTCCCGCCATGGTCTTTCTCCACTCTTCTGTTTTCTCTTTGTTCCCCCAAGGCTTGATAACATTAAAAAAAAAATCTTGGATATCAGTTCAGAAGAAAATGAGTTCAATGTGGGGAATCCGAGTGCTAGGAGTTCACAAAGAGCATGTGGCTGGCTTACAGTGCCTTTTGGCAGAGCAGAGGGGAGCGAGCTGGCCCAGGTCCACCAGGCCTTCACGGGTGGAGCGCTGCTCACCTGGCCAGCACCGTAGGCCCTGCTGAGTGGTCTAATCTTCCCTGCCTGTGAGTCACTGCGCAGCCTGTAAATATAGGGTGGAAGGTTCTTCTGGGGTGGAGAAAACATAAACGAGGCAGTTTGTTCAGCATCTGCTATAGATTGTGGTGAGGTGCATGCATATGTTGGGTTGGGCTTTATTGATATAAATCATTTTGTCATGAGGCATCATCAGTGCTAAGGTAAATGAATCAATTGCATTTTGTCATTATGGATAATCATCAGGTTGCGTATTATATAATTTACCTACTCCTCTGTCTTGAACAGAGCACTTTTCATTGAAATATCTATTTGCAGATCTGGGGATGACTTATGGCTCTTAATTCACTTCAGTTTGTTCTTTCAGAGCTTCTCATTATTCCAGTGATTGAGGCCCCAGAGGTCCCTGATGATGCCCTCATACTGATCCAGGCAGATTGTTCAGGGAGAGGGCATGAGTGGGAATGGAGGAAGGATCCCCTCCCCCTAAGCCTGCTATATAGCAGTTACTGTACAAAAGCAAGCTATCTCCTTTTTCTGTGCCTAGCAGAAATTCCTAGATTCCTAGATAATGAGCATTGATTCAATTACATGACATAAATAATTAGAAAGAGCTGAGCTCTTCCAAGATTTCTTAAAGTGTTCTATAAAAGTGACTTTTTAAATGTAACTTCCCCCCTCCCAAATATCCCACCATGACTTCAGAGATTTACAAAAGAATTATGCCTCTATCCTCTGGTTTTCATCTTCCAAATTCTTTAATTTGTCATCGTATAGCAGAAGCTACCAACACATGAAAGAAAAAAAAAAAATCTCAACTGAATGTACTATATCAATGTCTAACTTACCTCATCCTTCATTCTCTCTGCCAGAGTCTTTTCCCCCCACAGATTCACATTTTTCACTGCCAGCAGGGGTGTTAGCATGTAGAGTTCCCCAAGCTGGTACCTCCAACGTTTCTTGTGTTTAAAAGTCCCTAGTCTTTCTTGCTATCACCTCTTCTTCCCTAGAGCCTAGTCCTTTGGGCAAACTGCCTTTTCCTGACTTCTGGGAATAGGTCCTTAATGTCCACTGTCTTTTTTCTTGACCTACAAGTCCATTTAAAGCCACAGACCCTGACAAAGTCAATTGTTTTTTCCCAGCTAGTCAACAAATAGAACAAAACCGCATTCAGTAAAAGAATTCATTCTTAGTTCCCAAGCCAGGGGAGACATGTGCAATGATACTCAATCAAAGATCTATTGAACAATTCTGGATAATGGCAAAATTTGGAGACAGTCTACTGAGCAAGGTCAAATTATTCTAAAAGTGTATGTCTTTGAGTACAAGAATTGCCTTATTTCTATCTTTTTCTGATGCAGCACCCATAGCGGTGATTGTCATAGAGGACAGTGTTTTGTAAAATGATCTGGGTCGTTGTGTGACTGAGTGGTTGTCTTAGGCATCACTAGACACTTGCCATCTACCCTAGCAAGACCCAGTCAGGCAGACATCTGAGGTACCTTGTCTTGACATCTAATTGCTTTAAATGTCCCACCATGGAAATAATCCGCAGGGTTGTGGGACAGTCCAGAGGAATGAGTAAGTGCTTAGGCAATGAAATTGGACCCTGGGCTTGAATCTTGGCTCTCCTATTTTAGAGCCGTGTGACTCTGAGCAAGTCACATGATCTGTCTCAGCTTCAGTTATCTTATTCATAACATAAGGATAAACCACGCCTTGCTATGAGGTTGTTATCAGGATAAAATGAGATGATCATGCAAAGTTCCCAGCACATACTGTATAGTAAGCACACATTTATTGTGTTAGTATAGAGAGATTAAGACATAAGTCAATAAATGGCTTTATATAATCACTGTCTGATATTAATTCTGAAAGAAGCTGTAATCAGCACCAATCAAAGGGGTCATTTTGTAAATGAAGACAGCATGGTTGCATGGTGGTAGGGAGTGAATCTGTTTAGATTTACACACTCTCCCTGCTATATCCCATCAGGCGCATCACATTACGTGTCAGGCAAGGCTTGGGTGCAGTCTGTCCTCATGTTGGGCAGCATGTCTAGGTTTGTAAATGGAGTCTATTTTGATCCAAGTGTACTTCGCTCCTGCTGCACCACAAAAGAAAGGTTTCCTCCTTGGGGTTGCAGTGTTCTACCTAAACTAATACACAAAGCAGGAACATGTTCAGATTCATCTTCATTTTGGTGGTGGCCTTATTCCTAGCTGCTGAGGGGAGCCAGCACAAAACCAGAAGAGATTAATTAGCCCATAAACCCCCAAACTGCCCCATCTCTGTAGTGTCTTACATTTGGTTGCGGAGAGCTGGGATTTATACTGCCCTCGGACCAGCCGGCAGGTGGACCCATCCCCGTTGCAGACTCCACAGTTATCCTCCTTGATGGTGCTTCCCAGCTGGTGATCACAGCCGACAATCTAACAGGAAAGAAAGGTGTGTAATTCAACCAGGTGCCTATTGCAGGGATCCATCGTGAGGCCCATCACCACTCAATGACTCTCCCTTCATTTTTGAGGAAGCATAAAGCATGCTTCCCATAGAGGGGAATGAATTCAGCTGGAATTTCAATCAGGCTAAGGAAGAAACAAAAACAGCATAGACAAAGATGTTTTTAGAGTTCAAATATATAAACAGAGAGAAGGTTGGGGGGAGAGAGGGAGAAAGAGAGAGAGAGGATGGAGGCAGGCAAAGGAGAAGGTAAGGGAGAGAGGGAGAACCTAACCTATTGATATTATAGAGACTTAATTAAAAAATCATTCCCAGTGTCAATAATTATGATTCACTACAATTACAAAAATACAATCATGAAAGGAAAAATTTCATGGAAAAACCCATGAAAGTGGATTATTTTCATGTTCCATATTGTTCCTTTGATATAAGCTGTGTAGGGTAAGGGTTTGGTATGTTAGGTCCATTGATGTATTCCAAGCAACTAGTATTGTGCTTGGCAAACTGTAAGCGCTCAACAGAAATTTGCTCAATGATAATGGCAGGCGAGAATTCTACCACTGAACCACCAAGGCTGCTGAATGATAATGAAAATGGTTCCTTTTCTAGCTAGCACTTCAACTAAGAAAAGAGAAACAATCACAGAATGAGCTAACAAAAGCAAGATTATTGTATGTATGCATGGTGGGGGAGGATGGATGTTTGGGAGGGCAGCAGAGATAACTAATACTGAGGCCCTCTTAGCCTGCCTATGTCCTACCAGGCCCAATACAGATATCTCATTAATTCTGAGAATGATCATGTAAGATATCTCCATTTTATAGCTGAGGCCATGAATCTGGCCAAGGTCACTTTGCTAATAAGTAGCTGAGTTATAAGCACATCTAACAAAACATTTATGCTTGGTCCAAATCAGGCTTAACAAAATCATAAGCACTTATCACATATGCGGGCAAACTCATTTGTACTTTTACTCTTTCTTTTTCTTACTTACTTTTAACTTTTTCAAGTTAAAAAAAATTCAAATCCAAACTGTATCAAGTTGTACTTCTACAGTTCTAGTTAGATCTAGTATCAACAGACCTATTCTACTTCCAAATGACTTCCACTATTGTCTTTGATAAAAATAAAATGAGAACTGTAGTGGTATTTGAAGTGAACTGAAGTGGTATTTCCAGAAAGTCCACACCATTCATTCTGTCTTTCAAAAATCCAGTTATTAATATGACCTTTCTTTGAGGCTTGATTTTCCTTTTTGTACTTTTAATAATTGCAAACACGTGTTTAGGCAAAGGTTTGAAAAATACAATTATTTAGCATTGCATTATATATTTGCTGTATTTTTAAATGTGGTAATGTGTATTTTTTTATACACAGGCATATAGGCATCTTTTAAAATAAATGTCAAAGCAGTAATTCCTTCAACGATTGTACATTTTTTGAAATACAAAGATGTCAAGAAAACATAGTGCCCAGCTCTTAAATGGGGAGCAAGTTGGGCTGGTTCTGTCCTTAGGGGTTCATTGTGGTCAAGCTGCAATTCACCCCAATATGTTCACAGGCTGCAGTGAAGCCAATTTGGAATTCACCCAAGCTTCATCCATGCAAAGCCAACACATGCTGGCTTAAGACTTCATTGATGTGCTTCTATGGAGCTGGAGTAAGATTATTTTCAAAATTTTTATCTGTAGATGAATCCACATAGGAGCTGAGTAATTCCATATTCACTCGTATTCTGAACACAGTGTGAAATGGGCATGCAGAAGTAACTTATTTGCCACCATCACCAAAAAAATCATTTAATCATTTAGCCAACAATGATCAAGATCTGCCATGGGCCAGGCACAGTGCTAGGAGCAAAATCCAAAGGTGAGTTTAAGTACATAAGGGCCTACCCTCATGCGACTTAGAGTCTAGTAGTGGAGGCACATATTATTCAAATCATCACACACAATAAATGTAAAATGGTGATCATGATACAAACTATAAAACACAGATACATGATACTCTGAGAACAGAAAATATGGAGAATTTGATCTGGTTAGTGAGGCCAGAGAAGACTTTCCTGAAGAAGACTCTTTTGAGCTGAGATATGAATGAGGTTCCAGAGTTAACTAGACAAAAGGGAGGTGTTGCCGTGAGTTGTACTACACATTTTAGTCATGTGCAGATACCAGCTACTTAGAAAGTAACCCAAAACCAAAGTTGGCAAAAAACAAAAATGAAAACAATGTCAGAAGACTAAATCATATGATTGCTTTAGTAGGGTCAAATCCTTTGAAAAAAACAAACAAACATGGCAGTCCTAATTTCGGCAGTATTCAAAGAACCATTGACTCAGCTGTTGTTCTTTGGGGTTGGAAAGAGATGACCTTAATCTTACGAGATACTCAGCACTATGGAAGGATGATAGGCAGGGGGCATGGAAATTTACACTCACAGGTGTCTCAAATATAACTATGGTTTATTCCTTAAAGAGATTTCAGGTTTCTCAAAGGATTTAACTTTCTCTGGAAAATTCTTAATGGTCTCTGATGTCTCTAATGAAGCCAAATAGGAGATTACCATGAAAAAAATCTCTCTAATCCTAAAGATTTCTTACGGCTCCAAAGCCATTTTATGAAAAGAACAATCCCAACTTCACAGATCCAAAGTAACAATCTATTAGGAATAGAAAGTGACATACTTTAAGGCTAACTTGACCAGACCACCAACTTAGTGCCCTTGATGTAAGTTTATGGATCTGAGGATATGAATCAAGTGAGTTCTAACTGGGCATATGTTTAACTTCAGAATTGAAAAGACAAATATCTCCCTGACACACTTTTTCCCTCTTTGTATCAATTCCTTTTTAAGGTGCCAAAATATTCTAACTCAATTATTTTTAAAACAGGGAATACTTTATCATCAGATAAAATGTTCTTATTTTGGTCCAAGCGGAAAACTGTTTGCAGTTATATCAAGAAAATCATTATTGACATATCTCAGTCTGTCTCGATCTATTGATGTGGAATAATAGATTAATTAAAAATTAGTTCAACTGTTATTTTGAGAGCTATTATTAATAACAAAGAAAAAACAGAAATACAGAAATGGGTTTATTTGGCAGTAATAATGACAGATCGCTCTGTGCTTTGCATATACTACTATTTCTGACTAAAGTGCCCTTCCCCAGTTCTTTACCTAGCAAACTCCTATACATCCTTCAAATCCCAAATTGTCTCCTCCTCAAACAAGCCTTTTCTAGATTCCAGAGTTAATGGCTTTATTACTCTATGTTTCCTCAGCCATTTGTTCATAACTCCATGTGGCAGAGATTATTGGTCGCCACCCAACATCCATCTTCCCTATTTTTCTCAATAACAGAACTCCAATTTTATTTGGGGTGGCAATATGTCCTATTAAATGAATACATTTTTTCATTGGCTTTGTGACCAACTTGTAATTAGTGAATAAAAGTGGAAGGGTTGTGTGGGACTTCTAGGAAGACTACTTAAAAGAAGCTGACTTAGATGACCCCACCTGCCCTCTACTCTCTTTCCTTTCTGTTGGCTCCAGGTACTATTTTGAAAAATGAGACAATCCTGAGAACGAAAGCCTTGCAGTAAGGAGGGCGGAACAGAAAGAAAGAGCCTGGTTCTTTCACCTCACTTAGACCGATCACATCTTGAATTCTTTTTTTTTTTTTTTTTGTGAGAGAGTAAATCCTTTATGTGCTTAAGCCATTATTACTTTGGGGTTTCTTTTATATACACCCAATTTAAGTAGTTGTATAACTTATAATGAGTTTAATCTATTGATACGTCTGTTCCTATACCAGATCTTGGGTTATTTGAGAGCCCATGTTTCATTAACCTTTGTATTTCTGCTGTTTGGCACAGTGTTTGACATCTGACATGCACAGTGAATGCTGGTGAACCAGTGAAACACACAGCAAACATAATGGTTTGTTAATGAAGTCATTGTAGGTGACAGGTAAGCAGCCTTAGACTGCAGTCACTGATGACACACATGTAGACAAAAATGTGCATATATGTGCATATGTGTGCTTATTTATTTCTGTGTACACAGAGGAACAGACATATAAATGACAACTACAGGTCAAACCCAAATCTCTGTCCTCATGTACGAACAAGAATTACAGTAAAGGGCTAGTATTTTTAAGAAACTATTTCCCAAGTGCACCTATGCTCATTATTAGTGAAATGTCATGGAAGGCAATGTTCAGGTCACTAAGTTCCCAGACCCACCCCATTCTGGACAAAATATTAAAGTGAGATAATGACCACTCATAACTTTGGCAACTACATGGAATTTTTTTGTAAAGGGTGGAAAACTAGCTCAGTATTTTGACCTAATGTATTTTATTTGTATTCTGCTATTAGGTGTCAACTTGATACAGTGGTCTAACCTCCTCTGTATCCAGTGTTGCATTTTTTTTTAATAGAACTTTTATCTCAGGTGACATAAAAAGTGAAAAGCTCCAAGATGTTTTTGTTGTTTAAACACCATTAGTGGGTCATCAACTTTGCTTTGCTTTGCTATCTTGATTGTAGGCTTTTTTGCATATATATATACATATGTATATACATATGTATAAACACAGACATTCAGTCCTTCATCCTATTTTTGAGTAGAACATACAGATTTAACACTGCTGCTTTTTCTTTATTCTCCTTCAGGATTTACCAAAGGGAAGGAGGGGGGACCCCTCCCTATACAAAAACTAGGATGATAATATCCATTTATCCATTTATAACCATTATAATTGACTTACAGCATGTCATGTGGATTTTAGGCATCAGGACTATTCTGTGTGCTGATAGTAGTCTCTCCCTTAGTTTTACAGAGCTGATAGCAAGTGAAGGCAGACCACGAGACTGAAATTCTCTAGACACTGAAATACGTATAATAAAATGTCTTCACTAGGAGCCACAGGAAAAAGAAAGATTATCATCTGAATAATTTG